TCCCTCTTTGGTTTATCCATCTGTAAAATGGGGTGATCAGTCTTTGGTTGTCAAAATGTGTGGGGGAAAGCAAAAATTACATTTAAGAGAGCCTGTGACCAGTGCAAGGCTGGTTTCCATGACCTTAAGTTCAGGAGAGATTCCTCTTTGGGCAGCAGTCCCCTAAACAACTCTGGTCTTCTCACGAGTATTGGGTCACTTGCCCACAGCTAAGACAGTCAGTGTTAGAATATAATAGATACATTACTGCAGGGTAAGGAATCTTTGGATCTTCTCTGTATTCAGGCAGGCCAGTTCTAGGTGCACAGTCTAGCTAGGGCTGAGCCTCATCCAATTTAGGAGAGGAGTGTGATTTGGGATTTCCTTAGTTCTGGATTCTCTCTGTCCAACTATCTAAAATCCACTTGTTTTCTGCTTGGTTCTCAGAGATGTCTGGTTTCTTTTCCCAGTATCAACCTAGCCCAAGCTAGAGCAATGCTTTCTCTCAGATACCCTGGTCACCTAGAATATAAGGTCCCATCAGCCTGGGCTGTCCAGATCTCACCTCGAATTCAGGTGCCAGAGAGATTCCTGACCCTCCAAGGGATGATGCCCTGGTTGTCTCTTCTTGGGTTTCTATTATCTGTGGACATCCAGATTGGCTTCCACCTGCTTCCAGCATGAACTAATCTAGTCCTTGGTTTCTCTCACATTTCCTGACTCATTCATTCTTTTCTTACTTCTTTCATTTCTCATATTTTCCTCCTTCCCCAAATGTCTCAGTCCAAAGGCTTTTTGGCTTTCTCACAAGCCATCCTTAACTTGCTTACAAGCATCTTCATCTCCATGGACCATAAGCAAGAAAAAGCATGCAGAATACATATATGATAAGATATATTTAACTTGGGGCTTGGGGCAGGACCTCTCATCAAACAGCTGAGGGCAGCCACTGATGAAACAGACTTAAGCTAAATGAGGACGACTTGGAACCAGGGAATCATAGACTGATTGGACTGCAAGTGATCTGGAGAAGTCATCTTGTCTCTCCCCCTGGCATCGGTACCATTTTCTAAATAGCTGAGGAGGATTTCCTGACAATCAAGTATTTCTGAAGTGTTTTCTGTGTACCAAGCATTGTACTAAGTTCTAAAGATACAAACAAAAGCAAAAACAGTCCCTGTCCTCAAGGTGTTTACATTCTAATGGGGTCCAGCTACCAGATGAGTCGTGAAGGAAGGCTTTAGGAGGTTCTTTCCTCTGGGACCTCTAGTACAAAAGATAGTTTGTATGTGAGGTTTGCCTGGAGGCAGAGGGATGGACTCAGTAGCCCCTTGGCTCCTTTCTACTCAGTGGTTTGGGACTGTAAATTCTTGAAGCAAAACCAGAACTCCTAAGGAGATTCTCCAGACCAGGGGTGGGGAACCTGCAGCCTGGAGGCCACATGTGGCCCTCTAGGTCTTCAAGTGTGGCCCTTTGACTGAATCCAAACTTAGAGGACCACAGGAGGCCAAGAGGTCACAGGTTCCCTACTGCTGCTCTAGACCTTTATTTCTCTAAACTTTTGTTCTTATTTCCTTGAGACATGGAACAAGATTCTGTCAGCCTAGATAAAAGATTTGGGGACAGTCTCCAGCCCCGTGAGGTAGAAGGAAGAACACCAGCTTGAGAGTCAAGAGTCCTTGGTTTAAATCTTCAATCCACTTGGAACTTTCTATGTGGCCTTATGAAAGTCCTTTCCCTTCTTTGGGTGTTATTTTCTTGTGGAAATCAAGATGAACAGGGGATAGATGGGGAAGACATGTGGATTAGATTACTTATAAAATCTAGCTTGACTCTGGCAATCTGTGTTTTATAATTCTCTAGCCCATGGTGCTAGTGACAGGGAAACCCCACCCTCACTTCCATCTATTAGAATTCCTGCCTTCCCTCAGTGCTCTGCTCAGGTGCCACCCCCTATAGGGAGCCTCTCTGATCTCCCTTCTGCCAGCTCTCAGCACTCTCTTCCTCTAGAAAATGCTTTGTTTCCTCACTTGTGTATGTGTTATATTTCCTTAATCGATTGTAGACTCCTTGAGAGCAGGCACTGTTTCATTTTTATCTTTGTATTCTCAGTGCCCAGCATGTACTTGGCCTATGGTAAGCACTTAGTGAAAGTTTATTGGATTGAATCTATAGATGCCTTCATCTGGAACTAGAGGAGGCAGCTGCGTGGGAGAGGGGAGGGTGCAGAGAGGAGGAAAAGGGATGCAATGAGGCACACTTTTTCATATGAATTTTTCCAAGTGCACATTTTCTAAATGCCAGAAAATCCTGCTTTCTAGAGCTGCTATTTATTTTGTGATGAGGCAAGTGGACTGTGTGACAGTGAAGGGGCAACTGTACTCCAGAGTACAGTACTCTGCAGGGGCAAGGTTTTCATGCCTTGGTGAGATTCTTAGCTTGGACCTCTCCCACACTGAGCCAGAGTCACAAAATAATTCGCCACTCAAAATCCTCCAGTGGCTCTCCCTGCATTGCCTATGAGTGTAAGCTCAAATGCTGTAGGTCTTCGTGGCCCACTGTGATCTAGCCTCCATTTCAGGGTTAGGGTTCCCCTCAGTTCAGCCAAAGGGTAAGGCTCAGACATTGTCCCCCCCAGCATGCTTGTGCATCCCTAACTTCAGGCGTCCCCCTCTTCAGAATGCACTTTCCCCCTCCTCTCCTATTGTGGAATTTTGCTTTTCATTGGTTTCAGCTTCGTCCAACTCTTCATGACCCCATTTGGGGGTTTCCTTGGCAAAGACACTGGAGTGGTTTGCCATTTTCTTCTCCAGCTCATTTAACAAATGAGGAGTCTGAGGCAAAGAGGGATATGTGACTTGTTCAGGGTCACCAGCTAGTGAATATCTGAGGATGGATAGTAAGTCCTATGCCAATTTCATGACTCAGCACAAGTGTTCAAACCAAGAATGACCTTAGTAGGACTGCATTATGGGATCCTAGACCTAGGGCTAGAAAGGACCTCAGAGACCCCTCATTTTACAGATGAGGAAACTGAGGCTTAAAGTGAAGGTGAGGGTGACTTGTCCAAGGTCACACAAATACTAAGCACCAGAGACAGGAGTTGAACCCGGGTGCTCTAATTCCAGAGTGGTGCTCTTTCTATAGAACCACCCTCTCATTTTACAGATGGGGAAACTGAGGTGCAGAGAGCTCTGGTGCTTTATTTACCCATCTATTGTGGGAAACAAACCCAGATCTCCTGACTCCAAACCTAGTGTACTTCCTAAGGTCCCTCCCCACACTAACATTCTACATTTCCAAGGCTCACCTCCTCCCTGAAGCCTTCCCCAGTTGTCCCCACTTTAGTGATGGGTGATGGATTTTTCTGATTGCACAGACCTAGAATTCTTCTAGAAGCTTGGTCTGTTCTACTTCTGGGCCTCCTGTCTCTTCCCTCTTGCCTGCCTCATCTCCTTGTCTAGACTCTGGAAAGCAGGGTTTGTTTGTCTCATCTTTGTTACCCCAATATCGCCTAGCCCTGGGTCCTATACACAATAAGTGAATGATGAGCGAAAGAAAAGCATTTAGGAAGCTCTTAGCCAAGAAGTCAGTTAACAAACATTTCCTCTAAGTGCTTACTCTGTAACCACTGTGTGAAGTGCTGGGGATACAAAGAAAGAGAAAAACATTGTATTTTGATGAGGAAGAGGATTCCCACGTTCACTTAAATCCTGGTACTGACTCGATAGCAAAGCGCAGCCCCCCACTCCCAATACTCGACCTGCCTCTCTTCATTCCAGCCTTCTCCCTGCCCCATCCCTCATCCCAGACCCCAAGCTGACCCCTGCTCCCCTCCCCTTCCTGGTATCTCCTCCTACCCTCTCCACTGGATCTTCAGCCTTTATGGGGAAAACCCAAGAGAACAAAAATTCTCTTGGTAACAGTGAGGAATGTTTGTGAGACTGGGGGCATCGGAGGGGGTAAGAACTATGGCCAAGCCCTCTGTGGGGGGCTTGGGGGGCCTCCTAGGAAAGAGACTATGCTTTTTCCTCCACCAGTCCCTCTATGCCTGGCCTTCCTGGTCCTTGCTGTGGCCTGGAGGTAGGAACAACCCCTGCCCCCCATCAAATTCCGTTGGTCAGAATTCTCCCCTCTGTTTTCTTTTCCCGCCCACCCTCATTTCCTGTTGTGCTTTCTCCCCCTCCCCGTGGGAGCTCTTTGGACACTGCTTTAGTTCCCCCCCGCCTTTTCCTCCCCAGAGTGGGGCTTTTATTTCTCTTTTCCAAATAGCCTGGATTGGGAATTGTGCTTAGGAGACTTAGTGAGGGGACTCTGGCAGGGGCTGAGAGATGGTGGAGGGGGAGGACCTCAGAGACATGGGCTTCAGAGGGGGTGTGTGGTTTGTAGTAGTGGAGGGATGGGTGAAAGGACCGACTAGTGATCTCCCCCAGCTGGGCTGGCTGAACTGACCCGGCTGGGGCTGAGGGGTGATGGTGAGGGAGGAGGAAATAGGGATACTTCTCGAAGTCTGGTGGCAATGGGAAACATGGAAGATGGGTAATTGGGGCAGCCTGGCCATATGGGGTGTGATGACTCTATGGGATTTTTCCTAATTTCGAATAAAGAAAGCACTTTTAATGAGGTTTGGCTGAAGGAGTCTCCTTTATCAGACCATGTGTCTCTGATTTTTATTCAAGAAATATGGTCACCCCAACTCCAAGTTAGGCCCCTCTAGGATTGCAAGTTGTTGAGGGATCCAGGGATTTTCCTCTTTCCTTATTTCTCACGCTCCCTCCTCTTATCTCTCCCTCAGAAACCACCCAACACATGGCCCATGGCTGCCCTGCTTTTTCTCTTCCCACCTCCCCCTTTTTCTCTTCCCCTCCCTTGCTCTCCCTCTTTTTCTCATCCTTATTCACCTTCCCTTTTTTCTCTTTCCCCCTTTCCCCACTTCCCTCGCCTTTTCCCCTGCCCTGTTTTCCCCCCTCTCTTCTCTTGGCTACTTCCTGCGTTGGCCCTGATCCAGGTTTCTTTGACAGGCCAGAAAGGCAGGGACAGGCCTCAGCTGGGCCCCAGTGTGAGAGCCAGTGCTGCCTCCAGATCCGAAGATGCTTCCTGTCCTCTCAGGTAAGTGTGTGTGTGTGTGTGTGTGTGTATGTGTGTGTGTGTGTGTGTGTGTGTGTGTGTGTGTGTGTGTGTGTGTGTGTGTGTGTGTGAGTGATGTGAGGGGTAGGGGAACATGACTTGGGATGGAGAGAGGGAAACAAAATGATGGCTTATTGGATCAGAAGCCCTATAGCAAAGGTGGGAAGGGCTGGGGAAGGGGCACAAGCCAGAGGATAGTATACAGGAGTCTGGAAGCTCAGTTTCCCTACCATATTTTCCAAAGTGACTTCAAGCCTCATTTTCCCCATCTTTAAAATGGGTCAGTTGTAGAAGTTCACTCCATCCTTACTTTTTCAGTAGCCCCGTATTACCCAATGCAAGCAATCTGGATACTTTTCTTACTGGTCCATGTTCCGCATCCTGGCCAAACTACTCCTCGAGTACCCTCCTGTCTCGTCATCCTTCCCCCGTTTCCCACAAGACTTTTGTGCCTCCCTCTGTGACCTCACATTTACCATTCCTCTTATTTGGAAGGCCCTCTCCTTCCACCAAGCCACCATCTTCTTATCCTTCAAACTCACCTTTTCCATGAAGGTCCTCTTGTCTCACCTCACCCAGCCCGTGTCCCTTCAGATACTCTAATCTGTCAGAGGTCTGTCTGTCCTGTCCATGTCAACACATTTCTAGATGTTCCAGTCTAGGGTTCTCTGGTCCATTTCACATAAGGGGAGCCTGATCTAGCAAACCTTGTCTAAGGACTGTCAATAGTTTCTTCTCTATCCCTTACCACCATGCCTAAGACAGGCCTCTGTATGAAATGGAATCTAGACTGATGGGCCAACCGATAAAGTGACCTATCAAACAACCAACTGATGAAATTAATTCCTTAATTCCTTCATTCACCAACTTATTTGTTAAGTATCTACTGAGTACAGAGAACACTGCACGGGTACTCTGGGGAGACAAAGATGAATAAAACATGGGAGCAAGAGGGAAAGTGGAGTGTGGTGTTATGTGGCCATTATAAGACCTTCAGGTAGTTACCCTTCCCGTCCCTATCTCAGTTTCCCGAAGGGCTCTAACTCTTCCCCTGCCCCAGAGCAGTTCTGGAGTCTGGACCAGAGGCTCTGGCCCAAGCCTAGGCAAGAGAATGGTGGCGGGACAGAAGGACGGGAAATGACCTAGGAAGCAATGCAGGAAGCCACAAGCCTGGAGATTGTTTCCTGGGGATTTCCCACTGCTGCTCCTTGGCTCTTGACTGCCTTCATTACTGGAAACTGTGGAGATGGGACCTGAGTAGATGTGGAGACAGAGCCAAGGTTAGGGAGAAAATGAGAGGCACCAGTGACCACTGGGGCAGGCCTGGGAATCCCAGAGTGAACTGGGCTGGCTTTCCCAACCTCTCCCCACTCTGGGCCAGACTGGGAGACCAGCAGAAGGTGGGGCGATTATTATTTTGAATGAAGACGTTTTGCCTAGAGGTGGAGATCGAGGAAGAATCTGTGTGCTGTTGGCAATAATAGGCTCAAAGGAACTATCAACTAGAAAGACCCTTAAAAAACTATTTAGTCTAACCATCCCATTTAATAGATGAGGAAACAGAGTCCAAGAGAGATTAAGTGACTTGTCAGAACTTACACAGATAGTAACTAGCAAGGCCAAGTTTCAAACCCACTTCTTCTGACTCCAAATACAGTGTTCTTTCCTCTATACCATGTAGGCAGAGGACAGGCTCTGAATGGGGCATCTCAGATCTCCCTCGCCTTCCACTTTATTCTCCCTTCTGTCTCCTTTTTCTCCAAGCTTGGCTGTGGCTGTTGTTTTTGCTGCCTGAGGCCGAGGTGCTGGAGATAACCCCCCATGGCTCAGAGTTCATCCTCAACATCTCCAGCACCTTCATCCTGACTTGCACAGGGGATGCCCCAGTGGCCTGGGAAAAGACTCCCCAGCAGACCCCACCACCTGTTCTTGAATCCCAGGATGGCACCTTCTCCAGCATCCTGACCCTCACCAACGTCACTGGCTTTGACACAGGAGAGTATATATGTTCCTACAATGGCTCCCAAGGCCTGGAGCTTAGTGGGCAGAAGCGGGTCTACATCTTTGTGCCAGGTGAGTGGAGGCCCTGGGATCCAGTGGTGAAGGTCCCTGCCTACTCCCTACAGTGACCAGTACCAGGATCCTGGGCTTTGCTGCCACCACCCAAGGACATTATCATTATTACTATCATCTCTGTGATTTCATCCTTCTCATCTTTTAGGACAGGTGTTCAGATTGAAAAGGTCTGAATGCAAGTCACTATCTTATTATCATTCTTATAGATTTAATGTTCTTTGGACCATTCTGAAAGTAGATTAAAAAAAGGACTGCATTTTGTGATTAAATAAGTGTATTGGGATTTGAGGTCATCTTCTACAGACTCATGTAATGCAACTTTGGGACAGCCCAAGTGACAATTAGGGTGAAAGAGGAGACATATGTCTCATCCTTTTCCCATATGGTTTTTATTTCATCTACTAAGTCTCTATCTACATTTTGCCATTTTTTCATTCCATATAATTTGAAGATTTTGAGCATTCAGGCAATAGCTATTCAAATTATTGTTGTTAAATTTTTATGCCTCGGTATTATGTCTGGACAGCCATGGGAAAAAGTCCTGTCTGCTCCAATACAGTTTATCTGTTGAACCTTCAAGGCTATTTGTAGTTTATTTGTTTATTGTTCTGGATTTGAACTCAGGTCCTCCTGACTCCAGGGCTGGTGCTTTATCCACCTAGCTGCCCTGAAGACTCCTAATAAGAGCTCCAATCTCCAATTTATTTCCTCTCTAATATAATCCTATGCATTCTACTTGATTAATCTTCCCAAATACAACCTCTGATCATGTTATTTCTTTGTTTAAAAAACTTCACTGGCTCCTTATTGTCTATAGAATGATGTCCAACAGGGGCAGCTAGGTGGCACATGGATAGAGCACTGACCCTGAAGTCAGGAGGACCTGAGTTCAAATCAGGCCTCAGACCAAACAGTTGACATTTACTAGCTGTGTGACCCTGGGCAAGTCACTTAACCCCAATTGCTCAAAAAAAAAGTCAGTCATAGAATGATGTCCTAGAATACAAGGCCCTCCTCGGTCTGGTTGCCACCCTATACTGATAGTCTTACATCTTACTAACCTTTCTCTTAATTCTGTGGCAAGGCAGGAGGGTCAGTTTTAGGGCTCAGGTGAGGAGGGATTCCCCAGCAGAGAAGCCAATGTCCCTGGGACACATCACAGTTTGGCTCTGCCCCTAGGGTTCTCACTCCTTCTGTCTGACTCCTTGTCTACTCTTATAACCTCATCATTCCGTCTGTAGACTCCTCTGTGGACTTCCTCCCCGTGGATCCTGAAGAGCTGTTCATCTTCTTCACGGGAGACAGTGAGACAACAATCCCATGCCGAGTGACCGACCCAAAGCTGGTTGTGACACTGCATGAGAAGAAGGTGGACGTGTCACTGCCTGTTCCTTATGACCACCAGCGTGGCTTCACTGGCCCCTTTGAGGACAAGACCTACATCTGCAAAACCATCATTGATGAGAGGGAGGTAGACTCTGAAGCCTATTATGTCTACCGAATCCAAGGTGAGGACCTTGTCTTCCTGGGGCAACTTCTGTCACACCTGGTTTCCCCTCAATAAATCAATGTGCATTTATGTAGTACTTTCTATGTGCCAGACACTGTTAGGATTGTCGTTGTTCAGTAGTTCTTCAGCCTTTGTGATCCCATTTGGGGTTTTCTTGGTAAAGATACTGGAGTGGCTTGCCATTTCCTTTTCCAGATCGTTTTACAGATGAAGAAACTGAGGCAAACAGGCTGAAGTGACTTGTCCAGGGTCATAGAAGTAGGAAGTGTCTGAGGTCAGATTTGAACTCAGGAAGATGAGTCTTCCTGACTCCAGGCAGAGACACTTTATCCACTGCACCACCTAGATGCCTGTCATTTTGTTAGGTACTGGGTGTTCAAAGATAAAAAATGAAACAGTCCCTGCCATCAAGATAGTTATAGTCTATTGGAAAGAACCAAGAGGTACACACACACACACACACACACACACACACACACACACACACACCCCAAATATAATGTAATAAGGAGGCATTAGCAGCTGGGATCAAGAAAGACCTTATATAGGAACTGGTGTTTAAGTTAACCTTTGAAGCTAAAAAGAGGTCCTAAAGGCTAGACGGGGAGAATTCTAGGCATGGAAAGCAGACTTCAAAAGGTATGGTGCTGGGAGATGGGATTGTCATGTGAAGAAAGGCAAGAGGACCTGTTTGCTTCACCCCATAAAGCCCATTCCCAATTAGGAGTCATATTACAGCACCAAGGACAGAGAAAAACTTTCTCTTAACTTGTCCCCAGGTTCTAAGCTTGTCTATGAATGGTCAATAAATTATTCATATTAACATTATAAATTCACATATACTAATCATCATCCCACCCATATCTCAATCATTTTGTCCTTTCCAAAGTATTTTCACTCCCATTACCTTCTGTGAGCCTCATCATAGCCATATGAGGTAGGCAGGGACAATTACTGCTATTTTCATTTTACTCATGAGAAAATTGAGGTGCAGAAAACTGAGGGAGGTTAAGTCACCTAGGAGCATAGGGTTCTAGGATTTAGAGCTGGGAGGCACCTCAGAGATCATCAAATCCAGCCCCCCATTTTACAGATGAGGGAACAGGGGCCCAGAGAGGTGAAATGATCATTGGCATGTGGGTAGCCTTTGATGTGTGGGTTTGTCTTACATGATTCTTGCCTGTGTCTGTTCATAGATCTCCAAAGAGGATCGACCCAATACACTATAGAACTTAGTCTGGTTCTGGATGCCAGGGCAATTCGGTTCAGCAATTCAATTCAATCCAACCAATGTATCTATCTGTTGTCATTCATTCTTACTATGTGACTAGTCCACCATCATACATTCCTTTGAGGGGATTATAAGGTCATAGATCTAAACTGGAAGAGACCTCAGAAGCCAATCAGTTCAACCCCATGGTCTCACAGATGAGGAAAATGATCAGGGAAACTAAGGACATATAGATAGTAACTATTGGGAGCGAGATTTGAACTCATAGTCACTGACTCCAAAACCAGTGAATTCTCTTTCCATTGTACCGCACTACTTCCTTTGCTACTTCTCACTTTATTCCTCTTCAGTTTCATCTTATTAGATTTAGCTGATGAGGTTCCTTTCTCAAATCCTGAATCTATTATCAAATATATTAGTTATTTCTTTCTGCTACCAGTTCCTTGAACTCTGGCTGCTTGGCTCAGGGTCACTTCCTTCTTCCTCTCCACAGTGTCATCCATCAATGTCTCAGTGAATGCAGTTCAGACTGTGGTGCGGAAGGGTGAGAACATTACTGTCCTCTGCATCGTGAAGGGAAATGAGATGGTGAACTTTGACTGGACCTACCCTCGAATGGAGGTGAGGGGACAGTTAGGAGAGGTTGGAAGGGTGATAGGTGGTCTAGTCTCAACAGAGATGAGGTGAAGAGAGAGAATAAAGGGGATGGGGCAATGAGGGAGGGAGGGAGGGCTCTGAATGGAGGTGGGTCATAAAAGATGCTAGACTCTATGCTTTCTTCCAGAGGGCTCTTTGAGTAAGACCTTCTGGTCTGAGTTAGGCTGAAGTTGTCAATTTCAAGTCACCTATTCTTTCTTCCCCAAGCCAGATGAACCAGCCCTTTGGCCCTCCTCTTTGTCTTAGTACACATGTGTCATAGAGGAAGCCACAGCAGTCCATGCCAGCGGTCCCTAGCTTTATCTATTCCAATGCCATGTACCCCCAAAGGTTTCCTTCAAGCCTTCCCTGATTTCTCTGGAACCTGGACCCTTTCCCCATCCTGTCCCTGCAGAGCAAGCGGCTGGTGGAACCAGTGACAGATTTCCTGTCAGGGGTAGAGTATGACATCCGCTCCATCCTGCATATCCCCAGTGCTGAGCTAGGAGATTCTGGTACCTATGTCTGCAATGTTTCAGAGAGCTACAATGGCCACAGGGACATGAAAGGGGTCAATGTTACTGTGATTGGTGAGTACTAAGGACCAGCCCTCACTCCTACCCAACTGACCAAACAAACAGGGATGGAACCTCCCTTGAGGAATGAGGGAGCAATGGTCTTAGGACCAGACTGGGTGTTTTGTATAAAGGGGGAGCCTATCCTCTGTGAGAGGACATCTGAGTCTGACACCATCTCCTCTGAGCCCCACGCCTTCTCTCCATCCCTTCTGAGCTCCTGTGTCTTCTGAAATTCCAATCTCATTTTCTCTGATTCTTTGACCCCTTTCAGACAAAGGATTTGTGAGATTTCTGGGGGAGTTAGATGAGTTGGAGTTTGCTGAGCTGCACAAAAGTCGAACACTACAGATGCTCATCGAAGCATACCCTGCACCCACCATTGTGTGGCTCAAGGACAACCAGACATTGGGCTCTGGGACTGCCAGTGAGATCTCTATCTCCACTAGGAATTTGTCTGAGACAAGGTGAGCCAAACTCCTGGACCAAAGGAGGCGATATATGAATGATATTTGCATCCTCCCCTTCTCTAGAATGATGCTTAAGCTCACATCAGCCTGACCTTCATCTTTAGAGTCATTTTCTGGTCACCACTGATGCCTTTCCTAAAGATATACTTCACGTGTCAACGTCTGGATGGAGGCCAGGGCTGTAGGTATTAACTGGTACCAGGAGTCTTTGGCCTGAATCAAAAGAGGGTTGTTTAAGGCTGGAGCTATTGTAAGGGGGAGAAACAGAGATATAGCTACAATAAAGTAGGAACCCAGATAGGAGCCATTCTAAGGATTGGGAAGTGGAAAAAAGAGCGAAAGACAAAGGAAAGGAGAAGAGAGGAGTAGAGAGGGGAAGGGAGGGAAAATGAAGGAAAGGGAAGAGAGGGAAGAAGAAAAGAAGAGAGGAGGTGGGAGGGAAGGGGAGAGGAGAAGGGAGGAGGAGGAGAGGAGGGAAAGAGAAGAAGAGACGAGAGGTGAGGGAAGGGGAGATAAGGGGAAGAGAGGAGGGGAGAGGAAAGAAGAAGGCCTTCATTGGCTGCTTGGCTGCCCATGGACTGGGTGCTGTGCCTTTGGGGTCAGTCACCTCTACATCCTGATTACTTTCCTCTACCCCCTACTTGCCACACAGCGCCCCCACCACACATACACATACGCACACAGAAATACACACATACACACTCCCAGAGCCCTTAGTCCCATCAGAACAGCTGATGAACCCTCACTCTTCGTGCAGTGGACAGAGCACAGGACTGCATTAGCAGCTCAGAGATCTAGATTCTGGGCCCTAATCTTGGCTCTGCCAGCCCAAGGAAGGCTCACTGTTTGACTTTGGCCCGGTCAGCGGTGTGTGGAATGCTAGATTTCAAGTTACAAGACTAGAATTCTAATATTGTTTCTGCCACTATATAGTATCTGGAGCAGGTCATTTGCACTCTCTGTGTCTCAGTTTCACCATCTTTAAAATTAGAGGGTTAGACTAAATTCAATTCAATAATCATTTAAGATTCCACATGTGGAAGACACACTGTTGGACTGGGGATACATATTCAACAGAAACAGTCCCTGACTTCTAGGAGCTTACGTTCCACTTGGGGAGGGAGAGGAGAAGACAATGATACAATATTTATACAGATCTGAAAATACGATATAAATTTAGAAGAGGCAGCTAGAGAGATCAGGGAAGGTTTCCTGGATGAAGTAAAACCTGGGATGAAGCTTGGAGGAAATTAGGGATTCTGAGAGGCCAAGGTAAGAAGGGAGTCCATTGATTATCAGTTAATAAACACTTAATAATTACGTATCATGTGCCAGGCACTGTGCTGAAGATGTTGTTTAGCCAATTAGTTGTGTATGACTCTTGGTGATGCCATTTGGGGTTTTCTTGGTGAAGATAAGGCCATTTCCTTCTTCATTTCATTTTACAGATGAGGAAACTGAGGCAAACAGGGTTAAGTGACTTGCCCAAGGTCACACAGGCCAGATTTGAGCTCAGGTCTTCTGGACTCCAGGGCTGCGGCTCTGTCCGCGGCACCACTTAACTGCCTGTGCTGAAGATTTACAGAAAGGCAAAAGACAATTTCTGTTCTCAAGGTGCTTACAGTGTAATGGGGAAAGGCAACATGTGGACAACTGTGTGCAGAGACATGTAGGCAGAAGATGGGCTTTGGACAACAGGATTTGATTGTTCAAATCAAATAGGACAGTTTTCCCGAAGCCTGGAGTACATGGAGAGGAATGATATAAAATAAGTCTGAAAAGATGGACTGCAGTCACACTGTGAAAGGCTTTAGATGTCCAACTGAGGAGCTTGTATTTCACCTGAAAAGTAATTAGTTGGGAGCCACTATAACTTGTTGAACAGGGAATTAACTTGATCACACAGCTGCGTAAAGGATGGATTGCAGAATGGAGGGATTCTAAGCATAGAGACCAATTAGGAGGCTATTGTAATAGTCAAGCTAGAGGTGATGAGGATGGTTCTGTGAGTGGGGAGAAAGGGAGAGATAGTGAGAAGCGAACATTCACAACCAAGTATTAAGGGAAAGGTGAAGGGAAAGAGTGAACAGCAGAGGACTGCTCTGAGATTGCAAACAAATGATGGTGGCTTTGACAAAAATAGGGAAATATAGAGGTGGCACAGGTTTGGGGGGTGGTGTTTTCTAGGGTACTTTCTAGCTTTAACATTCCATAATTCGGTGATGCTTCCTTCCTCTGCAGATATGTGTCAGAGCTGACCCTAGTGAGGGTGAAGGTGAATGAAGGGGGTCATTATACCCTCAGAGCCTTCCATGATGATGCTTCTAACTCATTCTCCTTCCAGCTGCAGATCAATGGTGAGGAGAAGTTCTTTAGAGGGCTCCCTCCCTCCCATTCTTTTCCTCCTTTTCCTCCCTTAGCCTCCCATATTCCTTTATTCCCTCCCCACCTCCCTCTCCCAGTCCTTGACCTAGCTCATCTTCCTCCTCCCTGCCCCCACACTGACCCTCCTCTCTTGCCCCACTTTGGACAGTTCCTGCTAAAGTGATGGATCTGAGTGAGAGCCACCCCAACAGTGGGGAGCAACTCCTCACTTGCCGAAGCCAGGGGATGCCACAGCCTGTCCTTAACTGGTTCAGTTGCAGTGATTTTAAGAGGTGAGTGGAGATCCCAATCCCAGGTGGCAGTGCCCAAGGCCTTTGGTGTACAGGAACAAAGGGTAAATCAATCAGCAAGTATTTATTAGGTGCATGCTACGCGTCAGGCACTTTGCTAAGTTCAGAAGACACAGAGAAAAAGCAAAAATATTCCATGCTCAAAGAACTTTCATTCGAATGGTCCCAAGGGAACATGTATCCAAAGCTCCTGAATCCACAGAACCATCAAATCCGTGGGCATGGGCTGGGAGGCCAAATGGAGAGGGGCTAGAATAGCATTTCATCCATCCCCCTGCTTTTGGCTCTTCCATTATCCCAAGACAGAGATGATTTCTTTTGTCATCAAAACATCTAGAAAGAAAGACCCACAGGACCTCTCTAGATAGCCCGGTTCTGTACCTTACAAACTGAAGAGAAGTTCTTCCTTTCATCTCCCCTACATTGATCCTGCTTCCGAGTAATTTCCTTCCAGAGCTGCTCTTGGCCCTTTAATTAGGGGCACAAACTCATTCACTCACAAAGACAGGCTAGTTCTGGAGAGCTGGCAGGACTGAGATCCTAATAGCTCCTTTCTTCTCCTTGGAATTTCTCCTTCTGGCTACCCATAGCCAGGCAATTCATCTGGGACCAATATTGCCTCTGGGTGGGGGTGGGGGACAGCAAGACAGGGCAGCATTTGTAAAGAAGCTAGCTGGCCAGGTTCTGATGTGGAAGAATCAGGGATGGGGTGAAGATGAAGATTTCCCTTAAGCCCATCGTCAGTAGACCAGATTATAAAGTACCCACTATTCCTCCCTGGCACTGGCAAAAGGCCCCCAGAGGTAAATAGGGACAGGAGAAGACACTCTAGACCCACCTTCTACAAAAGGTCTTTACTAATTAATACCTCTTAATGCTAATGCCTCCTCTCAGTCGATTATTTTCAAGTTGTCCTGTATTTATATATCTTGTTTGTACGTAGTTGCTTGGATATTGTTTCTCCCATTAGACTGTGAACTCCTCAAGAGCAGGGATTATTATTATTATTTTTTGCCTTTCTTTGTACCTCCAGTGCTTAGCATGGTGCCTGGAACGTAATAGGACCTTGTTGACTGAGTAGGAGCTATTCAACTTTTCTGCATCATAGACCCCTTGGGCAGTCTGGTGAAGCCTATGGATTCCTCAGAATAATGTTTTTAAATGCATAAAATACCTAGGATTACAAAGAAAATCAATTATATTAAAATACAACTATATATATATATGTATATATATATATATGTATATATATATATACATATATATATATATATATTTTTTTTTTTTTGGTGAGGCAATTGGAGTTAAGTGACTTGCCCACAGTAACACAGCTAATGAGTATTAGGTGTCTGAGGTCAGATTTGAACTCAGCTCCTCCTGACTCCAGGGCTGGTACTCTATCCACTGTGCCACTTAGCTGCCCCAGCAAAATATTTTTTTAAAAAATTCACGGACCCCTGGTTAAGAGCTCCTACAGTCTAGACCAATAGGCAAAAAGGAGTTTGGGGAGTAGTGTGTGGTTAGACAGGTGGATAAAAACAGGCTGGTAAACTGGATAAAATAGAGCAAAGCTCATCGTGCTGGACTTCCACCCCAAATAGGTGTCCCCGTGATGTTCTGCCTACCCCACTGGGGAACAGCTCCAAGGAGGAAACCCAGCTGGAAACCAATGTGACCTACTGGGAGCAAGAGAAATTATTTGAAGTAGTCAGCACCCTGCGCTTGCAACGCGTGGACCAGCCCCTCTCCGTCATCTGTGACGTACACAACCTCCTGGGAAGAGACAGCAAGGAAGTCACCATTGTTCCACACTGTGAGTCCCAAGGCCCACAGCCATAGTAACTGGTCTCTTCTTCCCTTGTGCATTACTGGCCTTGAGGACATCCCATGCTGTGGGTGACCATCCAGGCCAATGCACATGTCTAGACATAATGAGCACACATGTACGAGGAAGCTGGTGCCCCCAGACACAGGCGTATCTTCTGAACCCTCTCCCACATCTCTGAGAAGTCCAACAGTTCTTCCTCCCAGTCCCCAGCAGAAGCCCAGATCAGGCAGCACTCTGTAGAGACCCAAACTCTGGACAGAGTGAATTGAGGAGCTGCAGTAACTGACTGAAACAAACCATGGATGTAGAATAGAAACATCCTATAAAGTATTAACTTATGCAGACAGAGGAGCAAATTCTTTTGATGGGGCAAGAACCTATTAAGATAGAGGAAGGCCAGAGGGACTTTAGTTCTCCCTTTTTGTTAAGCAGGGAATAACAGGACTGGCTATAATAATAATAATAATAATAATAATATTAGCATACCTTTCAATGGCACTTTAAGGTTTACCAAGCACATTTCTCACAACAACCTTGTGAACCAGGTAGTACAAATATTACTATATACGGTTTTAGTATACAGAAGTTAAATGACTTGCACAGAGTCACACAGCTAGTAAGCATCAGAGCCGAGACAACAATTCCCGTCTTTTGACTGCCAGACCAGTGGATTCCCAATGATTGAGCGACCAGCTTCAGAGGGAAAGGACAGCTTACTAAGAGGGGATTTGGGGTTATGGAGGAGCAGGGTAGAGGAAGTGGCATTACCAACCTGGAGAGGGTCCAGAGATGAGGGGAGCACCTTCAGAGACAGGGAATAGTAAAGAAGAGGATTAAATAGATGGATCAAGTGGACAGCAGTCAGGAGATGAGAAATGAGGTTGGGAGGAGAAACGGGGAAGGGAAGCCTAGTAGAGAAGGGAGAGGCAGAGGCTGAAGGCTTGACTGAGGCTGGAGAGAAGAGGCTCTGACAATGGGGGTCTGTCCTCTCTGCCCCTATCCACATGCAGCCAAACCCTCCAGGAGTGATCCACAAAACCATGTTTCTTTGGTTGGCTACAAGGTGATAATCTCTTACCCAACCTTGGCCCCTCACCAAGGCACATAACCCTTTTATTTCTCTTGTTGACTCTCTATCCCATTTTTCTCCATGATGATTCCAAACCTGTGTTTCTTTCCTCAGCAACCTTTCTCCTTGCCAGAGCCAACATCTCTGCTCTTGTCCCTCCTTCAGGATCTTGTCTCTCTCCCCCATGTCCTCCCTCCCCCACATCCTCTCTCCATCATGATTTCCAGCCTGTTTCCTGAGCTCCATCGACTCATTCTCCTCTGCTTGTTGTCTCCCTCGTTAGATGTGAGATCCTCGCGTGTAGGGACTGTCTATATTTGCGCTTTTTTGTATCTCTAGCACCTGTTCTCATGCCTGGCACACAGTAAGTGCTTGATAAATGTTTCTTGGCTGGCTTCTTGAAACATATTCTGGTCTCTCTAATAGAAAGAAAGAAAGAAAGAAAGAAAGAAAGAAAGAAAGAAAGAAAGAAAGAAAGAAAGAAGAAGGAAGGAAGGAAGGAAGGAAGGAAGGAAGGAAGGAAGGAAGGAAGGAAGGAAGGAAGGAAGGAAGAAGGAAGGAAGGAAGGAAGGAAGAAAAAAGGAAGGAAGGAAGGAAGGAAGAAAGAAAGAAAGAAAGAAAGAAAGAAAGAAAGAAAGAAAGAAAGAAAGAAAGAAAGGAAGGAAGGAAGGAAGGAAAAGGAAGAAAAAAAGAAAGGAAGGAAGGAAGAAAGAAAGAAAGAAAGAAAGAAAGAAAGAAAGAAAGAAAGAAAGAAAGAAAGAAAGAAAGAAAGAAAGAAAATGCATATAACCAACTTTCCCTTGACTCTAAGCAATACAGTTTAATGGAAAGAAAGCTTTACTGCTTGGCTTCTTTGTTGCCTTAAGTAAATCATGCACCTTCGCTGGGGTGCATTGACTCTTCTATACCTTAAAACTCTTGACATGTCTCTCTCCTTCCTTCCACTGCCAAACGTGTAGAAAGAATAACCTATGCCCACTGTCTTCCCCACCATTCATTCTTTCTTCAGCCCCTTGATGTCATTCTCCCATTTTATGGAAACATCCCTCCAAGGTCACTAATGTCCATAGATCCAGTGGTCTCCCCTCACCTCATTCTTTACCCTTCTTTACTTCATTGGAGGATTTAACCCCTTCTTGAGATGTTTTCAGGGAAGCTAGGTGGTGCAGTGGATAGAGTACTAAGCCTTAAGTCAGGAAGATTCATCTTTCTGAGTTCAAATCTGGCCTCAGATACTTACTACCTGTATGACCCCACCAAGTCACTTAACCCTGTTTGCCTCAGTTTCCTCATCTGTAAAATGAGCTGGAGAAAGAAATGGCAAACCACTCCAGTATCTTTGCCAAAAAAACCCACATGGGGTCACCAAGTTGGACACGACTGAAACTACTGAACAACACCAAATCAGCTGCTCTTCCTTCACTGGCTTCTCTGATAATAACTCACAAAGTTCTTCTGCTCTGACTGCTCTTTCCTGCTCTTTTTCTGGTTCTTTCAATGGTCCCTTGAACATAGAAACCCCCCTAAGCTTTGTCCTTGTCTTCTCTCTCTACCTTTGCTCCTTGAGCAGTATCACGTTCTAAAGGCTTCATTTACCAGCTGTAGACAGGTGACTCCCAGATCTCTATTTCTAGCCCTTATCTCTCCCTGAGCTCTAGTCCCACCCCTATAGCTGCTGGCTCAGTGCCTTCAGCTGTATGTCCCACTTCAAACTTGCTTTGTCCAGAACTCACCATTGCCTGACAATTAACTAATCATCATCTCCTCAAAACACAACAACAACAACAGCTGCTAGCATTTATGTAGTGCTTTCCAGGTTTCTTAAGCATTTTACAAATATTATCTCATTTGACCCTCGCAACAACCTTAGGACTCAGGTACTATTATTATCCCCATTTTACAGATGAGGAAACTGAGGTAGATAGATCCAGTGACTTGCCCAGTGTCACATAGCTAGTAAGTGTCTGAGACCAGATTCCCTATATTTTATTTTATTTTGTTTTGTTTTGAGGCAATTAGGGTTAAGTGACTTGCCCAGGGTCACACAGCTGATAAGTGTCAAGTGTTTGGTCTGAGGCTGGATTTGAACTCAGGTCCTCCTGACTCCAGGGCCGGTGCTCTAGCCACTGTGCTACCTAGCTGCGCCTGATTCCCTATATTTTTTAAAAGCACCACCATTTCCCCAGTGCCATCCTTCTTTACCTTTATTCCTATCCTAGAAACCCAGACTCAAAACATCAGAGTGTGTTTTTGGTTCTTCCCCAATTCATTGCTGGGGTTCTGTTGATACTCTGCTGCCTTAGTTTGGGCCCTCATTACCCCTCCCTAGATTTATTACAACAGTCTTCTAAATGGATCTGGAGCTGGACACAACTTCAGAGGCTGCCTACCAATCTGCTCATTTTACAATTGAGGAAACTGAGGCCCGAGGAGGTTGTGACTTGCGTACAGTCACGCAGGTGGGAAGCTTCCAGGGTCAGTGCTCTTTCCCTCGTACCACGCCGTCTCCAATGGTTTTCCTGCCTCCAATTTCTCTTTTTTTCCAATCCACCATTCACATCCCTGCTAACATAATGTTCCATATTCTCCACTCTCACAATATCTGTCTTCTCCTTAAGTGACTCCCTACTACCTATGACCTACTGAAGAAAGGTTAAATTCCTGATCCTGGCATTCAAAGCCCTCAACATTTCGAGTCCAGTTTCCATCTTTATCTCACACTTTACCTCATCCTTTCACATACTTTATATTCTAGATAATACTTTATAGACACTTCCCCATCTTGTTCTTCCTTATCGCTACTTCTACCTTTTGCTCAAATCATCCCCGCGCCTTGAATTTTGTTGTTAAGTCATTTTTCAGTCATGTCTGACCCTTCATGATCCCATTTGGTTTTCTTGGTGAAGATACTGAAGTGATTTGCCTCTTTCTTCTCCAGTTCATTTAACAAATGAGGAAACTGAGGCAAAGAGGGATTCTGTGACGTGTCCAGGGTCACACAGCTAGGAAGTGTCTGAGGCTGAATTTGAACTCAGGAAGAGGAGTCTCCCTGATTCCAGGCCTGGCACTCTGTCCAGTGCCACCTAGCTGCCTCACTCCTAGAATAGGCTTCTCCAACACTTTTGTCTGTTAGAAGAATCCTTCCCTTCTAGGTCCTCCATAAGACACTCTCCTGCCTTCCCAGCACAGACGTTCCCTCTTTTCCCTCCATAGGAAAATGATCTCTCCCTCTTTTTTTTGTGGCCGTTTGCCTGGCCCTTCCCTTTGTGTTTACCTCACTCTTACATGAATATGTCGTTCGTGGACATTTTAACCCCCTTATTAGATTGTAAGCTCCTGGATGGCAGGAATTGTCTCTTTTTTTCCTTCATTTTTGTATCCTTAGTGCCAAGTACAGGGTCCTGCACATATTAGGTACTTAATAAACATTTGTTTAATTGAACTGAACTGATTTGATTTGAATGGAATTGGATTGGGGAGAGGAAGGTTAAGGCTCTGATACTGGGGAAAAGAGGCTAAGGGTCGGAATGGTGAGGGAAGACCCAGAGTCTGACACTGGAAAGCAGAAGCTAAAGGTCTGACCTTAGGTCCCCAGGGGAGTGAAAGCCCTTGTGAGGATTTTTTGCTTGCTCGTTAGGTCGTTTGGCCCTTGTGGTAGGACTGACTAGATGGGAAGGAGGGTTGGGGGTGGGTGGGTGGGGTGGGCCCTGGGCTTGGAGAGAGGCAATGTCTCTTCTTGGGCAGACTCAGATGATGCTGGACAGGGTAAAAGGGCCCAGACTAGAAGTGGGAAGAGCTGGGGGGCTGGGGTCACACCTCAGAGTCTTCTTGCTTGTCCTTCTTGGTGCTGACCAGATGTGAAGGTGAGTTTCCTGTTCTCTGCTTCCAGCCCTGCCCTTCAAGGTGGTTGTGATCTCAGCCATCCTGGCCTTAGTGGTCCTCACAATCATCTCCATGATCATCCTTGTCATTCTGTGGCAGAAGGTAAGTAGCTGCCGTAGCTTTTCTCCCATGTGAACCTGGCCTGAGACCCTTCAGGGCCCCCAGGCCTCAGCCCTGCTATGGGCTTTTCCTCAAATATACCTAAATTCTTTTTTTAATCCTAAAGCTGATTAAATGTTTTAAAAATAGTATTTAATTTCCCCCAATTACATGTAAAAACAATTTTAATATTTTTTAAAGTTCTGAGTTCCAAATTCTATTTCTTCTTCCCTCTCTTCTCTCCTCCCTGAGACAGTAAGCAATCTGATATAGGCTCTACATGAGTAATCATGTAAAAAGGCAAATACACTTAAATTCTTGATTCCAAAGTAAAACGCATATTGAATTTTACATTAAATATTGATGGATCCAAATCAAGATGGGCCACAGTCACTACTTCTGTGGTCTAGTGGAATGCCTCTAAGGTGCAAAGATTGGATCAGCAGAGGTCTGACTTCCAGCCTCTCCAGCCCCTGTTGAACCTCTTGGCACTTGTCCAATGGTTGCTGGTTCCTAGGGAGGGAGTGCCAGGGTCTCCTTGGCACCCGGACCCTCTCTTCATAGCGTAGACTGAGCCCTGGACTAGGTGATCTCCTTTCTAACTTCCATGATCCTGTGATTGCTGTTGCCCTCTTCCCCAGAAACCCCGCTACGAGATCCGCTGGAAGGTGATTGAATCTGTGAGCTCCGATGGACACGAATACATCTACGTGGATCCCATGCAGCTTCCCTATGACTCCAGCTGGGAACTGCCCCGAGAGAGACTTGTACTCGGTCAGTGATCCAGCTTCTCTTCCTGGGAGGGGACCAGAAAGACCTTACTCCTCTATCCTGAGCCCCTTCTGTGGTCCATCCTTCAACGATGGGAGAGCCAGCAATGTGGGGAGGAGACCCAGGCAAAGTCCTTAGGGAGCTTACCACCTCGATGGGAAATTAGGACTAATACATCCCCAAAGATCATTAACCCAAGGATCAGATGTTAAATTACGTAGTATCTGCTGTAAAGTCCCAGGAGGTCAGAGGGCGGGGGTCAATGAAGAATGTAATAAGGAATGAAGTAAGGTTTACATGGGCCTTAAAGGATGGGCGGAAGAGGAACAGTGTAAATAAGCAAAGGAAGGGAGGTGAGGCTGAATAGAGAGAGCATGTGTGAGAGACAGTGAGACAGTGTGACTCATTTTTGTTGGTGGACAGTTAGAAATAGACTAGATATATAGGGTAAGATCCTACGTGAAGGATCTTGAATGCCACAGAGAGGAGTTAGGACTACCCAAGATGTTGGAAAAAAGTAGTGCTTTACTTCCAGACGTGGGGGTTTCTGTTTTGGAGGCAAGCAGGGTTAAGTAACTCATCTAGGGTCACACAGCTGGTAAATGGCTGAGGCCAGATTTGAACTGACTCCAGGACTCTTGCTCTATCTAGTGTACCAAGTAGCTGCCCCCCAGATATGTTTCAGGTAAGTTTATGTGGTTGGGTGTGCAGGATGGATCAAAGGGGAGTAGACTAGCGGCAGAGAGGACAGGTGGGGCAGGAACTACTTACTACAGGTAAGTAGTGATGAGGCATTGGACTAGAATGGTGGCAGGTGGAAGTGGAGAAGAGGGCCTGGCTCAATAGAGATCTGAAGTTATAAAGGTCAGGACTGACCAAGTTTAGGGGATGAAGGAAAGTCTCTACCCTCAGGACACAGACATTCAAAGAAAAGGGGTAAGTGGGGCTGAAGCTAATATAATCAGCTAATGTCACAGAATTTCAGAATTGAAGGGGATCTTCTAGTCCAACCTGTGACTGAATAGAAATCCTCTTGACCACAACTCACCAAGTGGCTGTCCATCCTCCACTTGCCGACCTGCAATGAAGAGACATGCACTACCTCCCAAGGCAGCCTGTTGCATTTGAAGACAGCACCAATGAATAACAAGGAAGTCATTCCTTATAATGAACCCAAAACTGCCTCTATACAACTT